AGACCCAAAGTCAGCAGGGCTTTGCGCTGGCCAGGAGCCTAGGTATACTCCACCTGCACGGGGCTGAGGTCTCCTGAATGTCACAGAATGAGTCAGGCAGACAGGTGGGTGCTGAGAGGGGCAACCTGCCGAGAGCAGGAAGGCACAGAGCCTTCCTCAAGCACCCTAAGAGGATTTGGGGCAGCAAATGAGATGACGTTTGTAAAACGCTCAGCACTGCCCCTAGCACCACCATTTTTTTTTTTAGACAGGGTCTTGATCTGTTGCCCAGGCTGGAGTGTAGTGGTGCAATCATAACTCACTGAAGCCTCAACTTCTTGGGCTTAAGGAATTCTCTCACCTCAGCCTCCCAAGTAGCTAGAACTACAGGTATGCAACACCATGCCCCACTAATTTTTTTTTTTTTTTTAAATAGAGACAGAGTCTTGCTATGTTGCCCAGGCTCATTTTGAACTCCTGGGCTCAAGCGATGCTCCCACCTTAGCCTCCCAAAGTGCTGGGATTACACATGTGAGCTGCCATGCCCAGCCGGTAATTGTTATTATCAGCATTATCTCAGTGGTTACAGGTGCCTTCAGTTCTCAATAACTACAAGGCCTGTTCAGGCCCCCTGAGAATTTTGCTGGGTTTTAATAAGTCCTGATCACAAAGTAGAGATTCCTGGGTTTTTATTGCCATATGTGTCCCCCCAAAAACTCCTTAGTCAATTTCTTGCAATCCAGAGAATCGTCATAGCTCACATGTCACCAACTCCTAGAAGCCTGCCTGCTTATCATCATGTCCCCTCCTCTCCATCCATCCAATCAACCAACCATCCATCCATCCATCCATCCATCTACTCATCCATTTGGCAAACGCTTCCAGAATGTCCTCTTTGCCTGGTCCTGTTTAAACGTGAATCAGCCAAAACCTTTCCAGAGAGCTCAACTACACCCACACCCAGTTCCACAACTTTTTTCTTTTCACATTCAGAGTCCTTAAAAAATGGGACCTGCAGGCCAGGCACGGTGGCTCACGCCTGTAATCCCAGTACTTTGGGAGGCAAAGGTGGGCAGACCACGAGGTCAGGAGTTCAAGACCAGCCTGACCAACATGGTAAAACCCTGTCTCTGCTAAAAATACAAAAATTAGCTGGGCGTGGTGGCACGTGCCTGTAATCCCAGCTACTCAGGAGGTTAAGGCAGGAGAATCGCTTGAACTCAGGAGGTGGAGGTTGCAGTGAGCCAAGATCGTGCCACTGCACCCCAGCCTGGCAACACAGCGAGACTCTGTCTCAAAAAACAAAAGACAAAAAAAGAGATCTGCACCTTCCCTTGCTGTGTGTGTCCCCAGCCCCAGTGCCCAGCCTAGTCTGGATGTTTTCTGTGACTGTACCCAGATAGGGGGCAGCTGTCCTGGCCTTCAGAGCATCCACACCCAGCTCACTCGCCCAGCTCCCCCACCCTACTGCACCTCTGTTGCCAGGAACCCATCAAAACAGCACTATCAAACTCCAGGAGAGAGGCAGATTGGGAAACGGTCGGCCAGGGGAATAGCCATAAAATTCTGTGTACTCCTGTGGGGCGCAAAGATCAAAGTATCCCATATCAGGCTCAGTATACAACCGTAACAACCTTTTACCTGGATACGGCACTCCACAGTTGACAGAGGTGTTTCCCATCTCCTGGCTTCTTTCATCTTCAACAGGGCCCCTGGCCACGAGGAAACTGAGGTTCAAGAAATTACAAAACCACCCAAAGCCACACAGAAAGTAAAGGGCTGACTTGGGATTTCAATTCGTCTCTCCTGATGTTAAATCAGTGCCTCTGAAACCACATCACAGCTACAAGCTTCGGAAGGGCCTAAATCTGGGGATCCGGAGACCTGGCTCCCAGCCCAGCATTCATGAGTCTGTTGAGCGACCTTAGGTAAGTCACTTCCTCTCCTGACTGCCATTTCCTCCACCGTAAAGTGAAAGGGCTGCCAGGCTCACAAGGTTGTTGCAAAGATCAAAGCAGATGATGGGTGGGAACAGACTGTGGAGACAGGCTGCCCGCTGCAAGCTAGTCACCCCTCACCCCACCCACCCACCAGGAGCCTCACCTACAAGCTGGACATGCCAGGCCCTCCAGCTCCCAGGAGGAAGTAAGCTTTGGCTCCACGTGGTAATGGAGCTACTGGGAGCTACATGGCTCACAGCTACTGCGTAGCATTTTGCCTCCTGTCTCCTACACCAAGCAGGTTCTTTCTACGTGGGGGAGAGAAGTTTCTCTTCACTCTAGCAAGCAATTAGTCAGTGCCTGTGTGCCAGGTCCTTTGCTGGACCTGGATTCAGAGCTGAACAGAATCCAGTCTGCCCCAGGGCAGCTTCCTGTACAGATGGGGCCTGAACTCGCAGGGAAAGGAAACCAACATGTCAGAGGCGTTCTCGAATGGCAGGCGTTTTCCATGGGTCACTGCATGCTATGCCCATCATAAACCTATAAGGATCTGGTCCCTTTGACAAATAAAGAAATCTCAGGGCTGGGCACAGTGGCTCATGCCTGTAATTCCAGCATTTGGGGAGGCTGAGGTGGAAAGATCGCTTGAGCCCTCCCTGAAGTTTGAGGCTGCAGTGAGCTATGATCATTGCACTGTACTCCAGCCTGTGCAACAGAGTGAGACCCATCTCTAAAATAGAAAAAAAGAAAGAAAAGCTGGGCGCGGTGGCTCCTGCCTGTAATCCCAGCACTTTGGGAGGCCAAGGTGGGTGGATCACAAGGTCAGGAGATGGAGACCATCCTGGCCAAAATGGTGAAACCTTGTCTCCACTAAAAATACAAAAAATTAGCTGAGCGTGGTGGCGCATGCCTGGAGTCACAGCTACTCAGGAGGCTGAGGTGGGAGAATCGTTTGAACCTGGGAGGTGGAGGTTGCGGTGAGCCGAGATCGTACCACTGCACTCCAGCCTGGTGACAGAGTAAGACAAGAAAGAAAGAAAAGAATGAAAGAAAGAAAGAGAGAGAGAAAGAGAAAGAAAAGAAAGGAAGAAAGAAAGAGAAAGAAAGAGGGAAGAAGGAAGGAAGGAACTGAGAGTTAAAGAGGTTGAATATTCTCCCTGTTCAAGCTCACCCGTGATTCCAACACACCCCTCCCCTAACTCCAAACGCCACACTCTTTCTGCTCCACAAAGCTACTTTGCAAGAACATACAATGAAGGAAGTTGAGGTGCGTGTCATCAGCAGGCTGGGGATGTTTCCATAGGGCTATTGGTCTATGGAAGATTCCTGAGGAGTTGGTCTGTGATGAGGTCTTTGGAGAATAAGCAGAATTCTGGAAGACAGGATCAGGAGAAATGGGGTCTAGGGTGAAGCTGAGCATGAGGAGAGTGTGGAGGTGAGAAAACGGAGGAGTTCCCCGAGAGCTGAGGACAGCAGTTTGGCTGGGACGGAGGATACCTGGAGGGAACAGTGAGACAGGACTGTGCAGGTGGGCTGGGTCCTGTCCTTGAATGCCAGGCTAGGGAGTGTATATTACAGGGGGAACTAGGGGGACATGGAGGCCTTGTGGGGACATCGAAGGGGCTTGAGGGTTAAGAGCAGAGAACCAGAGAAAGAGGATGAGATTTAATGAGATTCATCCCCTGTACTTTGCATTTAATTTCCCTCTGACGTTAAATAATTTAAAACACTGAGCATGTACTGTGGACAGGGCCCCGTGCTTGTCCACATGGATTATCTCATCTCAGCGTCACAGCTCTAGGGGCAGACACTATTCTTATTCCATGTTACAGATCAGGAGACTGAGTCAGAAAAGCAGAGGGCCCGAGGACACAGAGCTCATCAGAGGTGGTGCTGGATTTGCACCCAGGCAGTCCCCTCCCCAGGCTGTGACTCTTTAGAACGACAGCAGGAGGGAAGCCCTTCTCCAGAATGACAACTCAGATGACCCCTTCCACAAAAGGCTGGTCATGAAGTGGGGTGCGGGCCCAGGGGTCACAAAAGTGAAAACCCAGGACCCTAGCACCTCCTGCCTCCAGCCTCCTTCTGATGGTTCTCCTAGAGGGTGCATTCACTCTCAGAGCCACCAGGTGGCAGTCAAGAGCCTGGCTAATCGGCGCTGCAGCCCAGCCCAGACTCCTCCAGGTCTGAGTCACAAAGACCCAGGGCCGACAGTGAGGAGTCGGGCACCGGGGTGGCTTGCACGGAACCCTACCCTCCTAGTTGCTTCTCTCCACTCTCCCTGCAGCCTCTGTGCTCAGAGGGGCATCGAAAGTGGAGCTGGGTTGGCATGTACCTCCAGAAGTGGGAAAGCAGGAGTTTCTGCTTTCATGGCCCATCATCTCCCTGGAATGGTACGCAGTGGTCAGCAATGAGGTTTCCAGAGGGTTTTTCACAACCCAACGGAATGCTCGCTCCACAGTGCTAGGTGGGAAAAAATCGGGCACAGCACCACACAGACAGCGAGGTTATAGTTACATGCAAAATACTTGTGCCTGGATGGAAACAGATCAAAATATCAGTAGTGCCTCTCAGGCTGGGGAGATTAGGGATGGTTTTTGTTTTCTTTCTTATCTCTTCTACATCTTCTTTATTTTTAACAATAAGTATGTGTTACTTTTATCGTAACGTAGAAAGAAAAGTTTTCTTGAAAGGGGGAAGAAAGAAGATTTGCTATCTAGACAATTGTGTGTGTGTGTGTGTGTGTGTGTGTGTGTGTGTGTGACGGAATCGCTCTCTGTCACCCAGACTGGAGTGCAGTGGCATAATCTTGGCTCACTGTAACCTCTGCCTCCAGGGTTCAAGCAATTCTCCTGCCTCAGCCTCCGAAGTAGGTGGGACTACAGGCACTGCTACTATGTCCAGCTAATTTTTCGCATTTTTTTTTTTTTCAGTAGAGACAGGGTTTCACTGTGTTAGCCAGAATGGTCTCAATCTCCTGACCTCATGATCTGCCCACTTTGGCCTCCCTAAGTTCTGGGATTACAGGCATGAGCCACCACGCCCAGCCTGGCAATTTTTAATCTTTTAAATGTAACCTCCGTGCTCACTTTGACAGCACATATACTAAAATTGGAACGATACAGAGAAGATTAGCATGGCCCCTGTGCAAGGATGTCACGCAAATTCATGAAAGGTTCCATATTTTTTTAAAAATTAAAAAAGAAAAGGAACCTCCTCCAGGAAGCCTTCTCCCCCTTTCTCTAAGCAGAAGTAGTGACTCCCTCCTCTGTGCCCGCAGAAGGCGTGGACAGCCTCTATTAAACAGGACTTTGCATTCCTTAGGGTATCTGTGCTATCCGATATGGTGGCCACTAACCACCAGCCACACGTGTCTATTGAATACTTGAAATGTGGCGACTGCAAATTGAGCTATGCTGAAATATGAAATGAACACTGCATTGCAAAAGCCTCAAATGAAAAAAAAGAGTATAAAATGGTTCATTCATTACATGCTCAAATGACAATATTTTGGATATATTGGGTTAATATATTACAATTAACTCCACCGATTTCTTTTTCCTTTTGTAGTATGGCTACTAGTAATCGTTAAATTACATACAGGGCTTGGATTGCATTTCTATTGAACAGTGGCTGGTTCATGAGCTTCATGAGGGTAGATCTGGGGCTCTCTCAGCTCAGGCCCAGAAAGGGGAAGAGCCCTGTCTGAGGTCACACAGCCAACTAACTGGTGGCAGAACTAGAACTTGAGCCTGAGCCATGTCTCTGTACTAAGAAATTCGCCCTGGCCTGGCACTGGCTGTAGGAGTGGTTTGACCCGCAAAAGGCCATGTGCCCCATCAGACCTGCATCCGTCAGCAAAGGCACTGGGACGGGGTCAGAGACTTGGGTACACTGAGAGGGGATGTCTATTCTGTGTTTTCTCTGGGCTCTGCCACTCAGCATAACACGTTCCCCTCCCTTCAGGAACCCTCCTACCTTTCCCCTCAGGAAGAAGGGGAGTCAGGGAAAGCAAAAGAGCTCATTGGCATCCTCTGGTATGGCCGAGACCCTCACCATGGTCCTGTGGCCCCCGCTGGATCCACAACAATGAGAGGCTGGCCGTGGCCCCAGAGAGACCACTCTGGCCAGTGCCCCCATTCAGCGTTTGTAACAAGTGGGGTTCAGAGACGGTGAGTGCCCTGCCTGAGGTCACACAGTAAGGTGAGGGAGGGCTGGGGAGCTAAGGGAGACAAGTTCGGAGAGCCCCTGCCGCCTCCATCTAGGGCTCTGGAGGCCAGCTCAGCCCCGCGGCCCCAGAGGATGGTGGCATGGGTTAGCACATGGGGTACCCCAGGCCCTGCTCAGCCGAGTTCATGCTGTTTTCCCTACCTCCAATCTATCCAGTCTCAACTTAGGATCCTCCATGACCACCCATTGTGCTTAAACTACAATCCATATTTTCCCTCCCTGACCTAACCTTCTCCATGCCCCAGCTGATCGCCACACATCAGCTCCTATCCCCCCGTGTATTCCCATACACGGTATGTTCCTAGCTCAGGGCCATTACATCTGCAGTTTCTCTTCCTTTCTATTTTTTTTTTTTTTTTTTGAGATGAAGTCTCACTCTGTCACCCAGGCTGGAGTGCAGTGGTACAATCTCGGCTCCCTGCAACCTCCATCTCCCAGGTTCAAGCAATTCTCCTGCCTCAGCCACCGGAGTAGCTGGGATTACAGGCACGCACCACTACCACCTGGCTAATTTTTGTATTTTTAGTAGAGACGGGTTTCATTATGTTGGTCAGGCTAGTCTCGAACTCCTGACCTCGTGATCTGCCCACCTCTGCCTCCCAAAGTGCTAGGATTACAGGCGTGAGCCATCATGCCCGGCCTGCATCTGCAGTTTCTTCCGCCTAGAGCTCTCTTCCCACATGTTGGCATGGTGGACTCCTCGCTGTCCGCCTTTCAGCTGTCATGTTGCCTAAGAGGCCTGCCCTGATTCCCCTAGCCAGAGCAGCCCCCTACCCTCCATCCGTCACTGCCCCATCACCCTGGTCATTATCTTTCCTGCACTTACCACTATTGTTATTAGCATATCCATTGGTCTTTCTGTAGCAGAATGTAGGCTCCCAGAGATCAGAGCCTTGTCCGGCAGACCCTCAGCTGTGTTCCTGCCTCCCCAGTGCCTGGTATGCAGGAGGTGCTCAACTAATGTTTGTCAATCAACTCTGATTGAAAGAGACATAGACAAGACAGGTCACTGAAGCCTCACTCCAGCTGCAGAAAAAGCAAACGAACTCCAAACCTGCCACGTGTCCTTGGGCAAGTGGCCCCTCTTCAGGCCCCAATTTCCGCTTCTGAAAAATGGCGTTCCCCTGGCTGCCAGGCTGGCTCGAAGGATAGGCTGGTTGAATTAGCATGAGTCGAGTTGATGGGTGTGAACGCTGCTTTGTAAACTGTTAAAGCGTGATTGCAAATTCGAGTAGCTGTTGTCATTAGACAAATGAAGCTTAAATCGCCTCTTCTCCTGCTGAGGAGGGGATTGGGTCAGATGCTCCCTGGGGCCTCCTGCCCTGGGCACGTACAGTAGAGTTCTGCATCTGGGCACTGCCCTCATGCAGCTCACAGTCAGCCGGAGTTGTAGAGATAGCATGCAAATCAGAAGCAATCTTCGGAGAAATCAGCAGTGGACCATGTGGGGCTGATTATCTTTCGGGGAACAGATAACAGGCAAATAGGTCGGTGAGAGAGGAGTGAGGCGAATGTCAGTTAAGCTCTTGGTGGGGGCTGGGGTGAGGCCGAATCCAAGTCTTTAGAGCCAAGAAGGCAACCAGGTGGAGTGCACAGCTGGGACAAAAGCACGGCTAAAGGCGGTTGCCAAGAGATCGGGGAGGAAGAGCCTGGCCAGACCGCAGAACCCAGCCACCCCATAGGATCCCAAATGGGGAATCAAATACTGTTTGGAGAGAAAAGGATGGGAGGGAAGGGGAACTTCACTATCATCACGAATTTTCAATTTTTTCCAGGTAAAGGCCCTGAATAGATGTCTATTTCATTAGATAACATTGAATGAGTCACTTTCCTCTTTTTTCTTTTTCTTTTTCTTTTCTTTTTTTTTTTTTTTTTTTTTTTTTTTTTTTTTTTTTTTTTTTTTTGTGATGGAGTTTTGCTCTTGTTGCCCAAGCTGGAGTGCAATGGGGCGATCTTGGCTCACTGCAACCTCTGCCTCCCGGGTTCAAGCGATGCTCCTGCCTCAGCCTCCCAAGTAGCTGGGATTACAGGCATGTGCCACCACACCTGGCTAATATTGTGTTTTTAGTAGAGATGGGGTTTCTTCATGTTGGTCAGGCTGGTCTTGAATTCCCGACCTCAAGTGATTTGCCCGCCTCGGCCTCCCAAAGTGCTGGGGTTACAGGCGTGAGCCTGGCCCACTTTCCTCTTTAGGCATCAGCTTCCTTATTTGTAAAACAGGATGTGGAAAGTTAACCTGAGCTCTGAGCTTCTGTGAAAGGCACAAGGTGATCAGCACTGGGGTCGGATGGATCTGGCATTGAATCCTGGCTCCGATTTGCCATGCGACTTTGGACAAATTACTTATCTGGTCCTCAGTTTCATCATATGAAAATTTCACACCTGCTGCACAGAGTAGGGAAGATGAAGGCGGACAAGAAATAAACCAAGCTCAGCCTAGTGCCTAGCACCAGGCCCTCACAATAAAGCAACGGCACTGCTCTTCCTATTTTGAGAGAAAAAGGGAAGTAACCGCTGGCCATGGGTAGGTGGAGTCAAGGGTCCCAGGAAATAGAAACAAAGAAAAAAAGTTGAATCTGCCAGTACATAATAGGTGCTCAATAATAACTTCTCAAATTTGTAAGTGGCTAGGACCTGGATGCACTGGAGGTGGCCAGAGTTTAGAGCTGCTCTGCCCAGGAGAGGGAGGATTGCCTTAAGACGTGCCAAGCTTGGGGTCCCTCAAACCCTGGGTCTCCTGGAAGGTCTGACAGGCAGGAACTGAAAATGAAGGCCACCTCCATCCCAGTGGATCTTGACCCTGGTGAGGGGTGTGTAGGCTTAAAAGGGGAAAATCTCCTGTTTTCCTCTTTCCCTGCTCACTCCTATTCTGTCTCCCTCCCAGGCTGCCTCCTCCTGGTGGCCTTCCAGGATGACACCCATTTCAACTGGACTCTTGGGAGCTTCAAAAGAGGACCCAACTTTCCAAACCTTAGATGGATTCCCAAAGCCTGTGTTACCTCATTTTCTTGGTATGGACTGAAGGGTGAGCCCTGACAAAGGAATTACTGGGACATTTTGATAGTTTGTGGGACAAAGGGACACAGAAGATGTGGGTAGAGTAGATTTAAATTGCCTTCGACTTAAACCACCTGCTCCTCCCCTGGCCTCCTCCATCCACTCTACAGAGTTCCAGGCTCCTGATGAAGTCTCCTTAGTCAGGAGTGGGCTCCCAACCGCCAGGGGTCCAGCCTGGGTGATTGCCACAGGCCCCCTGCAGCCGGCTACTATCCAGACCTCGGTAAAGCCTGTTAATGATGATGGTGATGAAGGCTGTCAGAGCAGGGCAGGGCCCACAGGGTTGGGGCTCAGGGTTGTGTTTTCCCTGAAGGGAAGACCATGCACAAAACCACGACCGCACAGACAGATCCATTCCATAGCGTGGGGGTGGCTGGGGCTTTCCCCAGATTCCCCCATGGACTTCCTTCACCCCATCCCCAAACTGCACTGGGAGCAATATCAACAGAGAAGAAATCCAATGTACAGATAGACGAGTCTGCAGGGAGGGGCTCGCTCAGAACAACGGGGCAGGGAGGGGAGGCCTGGGGTCTGCCTGCCAGGGCCCAGCCCACCAGTGCCAGAGTGACCCCCCCACCCCCAACCCCAGGCCCTCGGGTTAGCGCCAAGGCCCACTCTCCCACTCGGAGGCCCCAGTCCAGCCCCCGTGCCTGGGAAAGCCGCCTGTTTTGTTCCCAGATGCCCCCACCCCCCCCTTTTTTTCATTCATTGCAGTTCAGTCCCTTTCGAAGCCGCAGGGACCTGGCTGGCAGGGCTGAGGCGAGGGGGTGGCACTCCCTGCCCTGACAGGTAGTGCCGGCCCCCGCTTTGGGAAGCCCCTTCCCCTCCCGCCCCCCACCCGCCGTCCGCTCTCCCTGCCCCTGTCAGCCGCGCCAGACGCTCTCCGGCTTTGCAGCATTCA